CAAACAGGTATGTCTTACTCTACTGCCTACATCCATTTTATCCCTTACCACAGAAAATCCTGTAGGGCCCCCTGGAGCACAGTAGAAGAACTACACACAAAAACAACAACATAGTAACTGTACTATTGTTGGTTACATACTCCTCCCCTCGATAGAAAATTTGTCCCAACCGTGACAAATTTTATGATTCTGTACATGGTAAGAGTCTATGGAGTCAGGATCATCCATAAAGGAAACTCTATCATTTACCGGACCTAATTTCTTTTTAATTACTGCTGGACCTTTCCATTTAGGTGACAATTTTTTGCCATGAAACCGTCATCTGCTTTAGATAAGGGATGGGTACGAATCCAAACTACGTCTCCAACTTGAAATTCACATGACTTGTGTCTTTGGTCGTAGTACTTTTTTTGTTTGATTTGAGCTCGTTCCACGTTTTCCCTTACTATGTCGATGAGCAGTTTTTGACGGTCTAAGGTAGGATAAACAGGATTTTCCGGACTGGGAAGTTTTTGGAGGGCTCTCTCCATTGGCCCTTTCAGTTTACGGCCAAGAGCTATCTCTGCAGGTGAAAATCCTGTACTCTCGTGCCATGCTGAGTTTATAGCGAATCGGAATTCCGACAGCCATCTGTCCCAATGCTTATGTTGTTCTCCTACATATGAAGCAATCATGGGTTTTAAATTCCTGTTGACTCTCTCCGTCAAATCAGTTTGCGGATGACATGCAGTGGTAAGTTTCTGTATTACCCCCCCACTGTTTGCATAAAAGGTCGAGAAGGTGAGAGGTGAACTGTGTACCTCTATCAGAAACGAGATACGCCGGTGTTCCCCATCTCGTGAAAATTTCCTCCACCAGAATTCTTGCAATGAGTGATGCTTTAGCAGTTCTCATTGGGAATAGCTCTACCCACTTGGTAAAATAATCTACCACAACAAGTAGATATTCATTCTGCTTGGGGCTTCGGGGAAAAGGTCCCATAATGTCCACACCTAGCATATATCCTGGTTCAACGACAGGAGTGCTTTGTAACTGTCCAGGAGCCTTGGTAGTAGCAGCTTTGTACTTTTGACATGATTGGCATTCCTTACAGTACTTCCACACATCATTTCGAATACTAGGCCAGTATACAGATTCTAGTAGCCCAAGTAAGGTTTTCATCTTCCCTAAATGACCATGTGACGAGTGGGGGCGGGGCCGAGAGCCGTGGGAACGGAGCGAGGCCGGTGGAGTAATTGATAATGAGCGACACCTGCACCACTCACCAGTCTCGAGTCCCACGGAGGAGCTCCGGAAGGATAAAAGGAGGAGTGACGACAGTGAAAGACGAGAGAGGACCAGGCCTGGATTCTCCCTTCCAGATACTGCCTCCATTTTTCTACCGCCCATACAACTGCTAAACATTCTTTTTCTGATACAGAGTAGGATCTTTCAGCACCTCTCAACAAACGTGATGCAAAAGCAACAACATGCTCTTCCCCTTCAATATCCTGGGTAAGGACTGCTCCAAGTCCGATATCGCTTGCATCCATTTGAACTTTAAAGGCTCTGTTAAAATCGGGAGGGGTCAACACAGGCGCTTGCATGAGTGTTTGTTTAATGTCATTAAAGGCTTGCTGACATTGCTCAGTCCATTTCCACTTAACATTCTTTTGTTTCAGTGTCAGTGCGTGTAATTGAGCTGCTCTTTCAGAAAAACTGGGGATAAACCGATGATACCAACCGGCCAGTCCTAGAAACCTTTGCACATCCTTGATGTTTTGAGGTATAGGAAAAGACTCAATGGCAGAGACTTTGGCTGGATCAGTTTTCACTCCCTCTTGTGTCACAATGTGTCCATGAAAGTGAGCATTGGATGAAGTTACACTTTTTAAGATTTAGGGTGAGACCTACCTTGTGAAGACATGCAAACACCTGTTCAAGATGCTGGAGATGGTCAGCAACGTTACTAGAATAGACAACAATGTCGTCAATATAGACCATGCAGCACTTTCCTTTAACCTCCCTTAACACATGTTCCATAAGTCTTTGGAATGATGCAGCGGAGTTTTTCAACCCAAACGGGAGACAAAGAAATGCATATAGCCCTGAGGAGGTAACAAAGGCTGTCTTATCAACACTGTCCACTTCCATTTCCATTTGCCAGTAACCACTTTTTAAATCAAGGGTGCTAAAAACAGTGGCACCATGCAAAGACTCTAAAATGTCCTGAATTTAGGGCATTGGGTAGGCGTCTTGATGTGTCTTAGCATTAAGACCCCTATAATCAACACAACACCTAGAACTTCCGTCCTTCTTCGGTACAACAACCACTGGTGCTGCCCAGGGTGAAACAGAGGGTTGAATAATCCGTTTCTCCAAAAGCTCATGAACTTGAGCCTCAATGAACTGGTGTTTCTCCATTGAAACCTTGTACGCTTGTTTTCTTACGGGGATCTCATCTATGGTAGTGATACGATGTTTGACACAATTTGTTCTGCCAAGCTGTTGAGTGCACACTGTGGGTCAACTTAACATTAACTCCTCCAACTTATTTAGAATGATAGAGTCTGAATCTACCATTTGTGCGATTCGTAGAATCTGCTGGTGGTCTTCTAGACTAACAGTGGGCATGGCCAAATAAAAATAATTGGAAGAGTGCCCATTGTAGTGCGTAAAAGGAAAAATCTTGGGTTCCGTTGAGGTAGGTAACTGGAACTGTGCTTTTTTTAAACTTTAAAAAACTTTAATAAAAAATAAATTCCCAGGATAATTGGTACAGTTAGGTCGGAGTCTTGCATAACATAGGTCACTTTCATCTCCTGCCCTTGGACTTCACAATCCAAATTGACTTTACCCAGTGAACTTTGCCTCTGTCCATTTGCTAATAGGAACGTCTGATCCCCACTAGGCTGATAATCTTCATGGCCACTTAATTTCTTCCACAGAGACTTTTGAATCAGAGAAAATGTGCTACCTGTATCCACTATGGCAACAACATAGCTGTTCCGGAGTATTAACGGAATGGCGATGTTTTTGAAATCATGAGCATCTGAACTCTGATCCAGCAACACGACTCTATTGGCACCCTGTGAGGATTTGCGTTGGAAATCTGGAGGAACAGGAGATTTCTTTTTCTGCTCTTCACTGTTGACTTGGCTCCAGTACCTCTTTGACTCATTGAAATCCTTCTCAATTTGGGTTCCAAGTCGCACTAATTCTCCCACATTTTTAACCGTCCCACGAAGTAAACTAGCTAGCCGTGGATTGCAGTTCCTTAGAATGGCTTGAATCAATTCCTTCTCGGTCATGTCCTTTTTCCATCTCAAACACAGGGCACGATAGTGATAAGCAAAATCTCTCAAACTTTCCTTAGGGCCTTGTTTTCTTTCAGCAAGCTTTCTTGCAGCCACATCCTGGTAATCTTCACTTAAAAACGAAAGCAGAAACTTCTCTTTGAACTGTTTCCAACTCGTTACATTTTTCCTTCCTGCTATCCACCAATCTTTAGCAATGCCTCTTAAAACAGCAGTGAGAGCAGCAATTACTTCTTCATCACTGAGGGGTCGAACTTCGAAATACTCTTCACAGCGCTCCACAAACAAAACAGGATCATCCTCAACTGCATTCGTGAAACTGGGGAAGTCCATCTTTACAGGTGGGTTATACTGAATGGTAGAAGGGTTATGTTGAATGGAAACACTACTAGTCGTATTATGAATTGGAGAGTGGGAAACATTTACTGGAACATTTACTTTAGGAACTCTTGGAGTAGAAGAATTTGGGCTCAGTAACTGAAATCTTTGTTCTAATTGCTGGTCTCTTCTCTTTAAACAATCAACAATCGATTGACCCAAGTCCTTAACCATCAGCTCCATCTGTTGCTTGACTCTTCCACATTCACGTCGGACATGATAAGCTATCTTTTCTTCCAATTTTTTACACTGCACATCAAACGCATCAAAAGAAACTTGCTCACTCACCCTTCGATCGATGTTAGCCATTTGGTTTTCAATCTCAGTGAGACGTTCCATTAAAGTTGTGTCACAGTTGTGTCTGACTTCTTCATTCACCTCTATTGGTGGTGGCGGAGGACCAAACATAAATCGTCCACATGAACATAATGCTCGACTTGCTCGCTGTCTTCATCAGAATCAATATATAAATCACTAAATGTGTTTATCAGTTCTCTCATCGGTTCTCTTCTGGTTGTGAATGTCTCTGATGAAAAATCCATGCCACCAATGCACTCATCTTTATCCATAGCAGATGACGGTAAAAAACTACAATAATGAACTAAGACTGCTTACCAGACTGATTGTTTTACACCTGTGTGTTTTCAAAGCTGAGGGTCCCTGTTCGGGCGCCAATTTGTAACCATCCCAGTGAACTTTTTCTGGTGGGCTAAATCACAAAATAATTTAGGGGAGGGTCCCTCAACTGAAAACGACACATAACACAGTAGTGCATTACAAAATGTTTATATAAATAAAGGCAATCCACAGATCATTATGGCATGTGTATGAAAAACAGTCAATAAAGTCTTTTTGACTACAAAACAAACCGTCGCATTAATCATATCAAAATAAAGGACAAAAAAACGTATCTGGTTGAATGAGTACTCGTCTCTAAGCCGAAACAAGTTTCTTCTTCTGCTCTTCACTGTTGACTTGGCTCCAATACCTCTTTGACTCATTGAAATCCTTCTCAATTTGGGTTCCAAGTTGCACTAATTCTCCCACATTTTTAACCATCCCACGAAGTAAACTGGCTAGCCGTGGATTGCAGTTCCTTAGAATGGCTTGAATCAGTTTCTTCTCGGTCATGTCCTTTTTCCATCTCAAACACAGGGCACGATAGTGATAAGCAAAATCTCTCAAACTTTCCTTAGG